GAAAGAGAAAGAAAAATGAAAATAATATTTTAAATTTTGAAATAATATTTATTAGTGTTAGTACCCTTGGGAAATATATGAATCCATCTCTTCTCCTCCTTCCCCCAGCTATGGATAAAATAGCAAAACAGACTGGGTCCTATAGCCTTGTTAACCAATCTATGAGAAGGAGAGTGAATTCAAACCACGTGCTGTCTTGTAGGCGCTGCTTCTTTAGGTAAAGCCTGGAAGAAATTAACTTAAAAAACAACCCCCCTCTGAGAAGAATGACGGTGTAATCTGAATACCCCCGTTCTAAAAGGAACCGGTTGATCCATTGCAATATTCTGTGGTCAATCTGCAAGGAACGGTTACGTGGAATGGATATTGGAAGTACCAACTTGGTCATGTTTCATTGGAAAAATACGAAAAAAAAAAAAAGAAATATTAATGGAACGATTCGTTTTGTTTCAATTAATTTGCACAAGGGTGTAGGTGATCATGGCTCTCCACATCTTCCTGCATAATTAATTTGCACAAGGGTGGCAGTTAAGAAGAAATTTGGAGTACTCTAACATATCTTAGTGTTTGCATCACAGTGGCAGCGTACACCGTGGATTAAAGGATTATAAATACGTATGAACACGCTCTGTTGTAATTATTTTAAAAAATAACTATTAAAGCTATTAGTTTTTTTTTTAATGTTTTATCTAACTTTATTTTATATAATTATATTTTTTTTTTACTTTTTCGATCGCTGCAAAACAAACGAATGTTTTCTTGACTGAAAACCAGATTCAAGAGTTTGTGAAAAACTTCTTCACGTCAAATGCTGCAGCGTATTTCTCAAAAAGCTATCGACCAGATGCGTGATAAATAGCAAAAAGCCATTGAAAATGATTGTGAATATATAATTTAATTGCACTTTATTATTTGAATAATAAATCGGGAATTACTCATTGGCTTGACTTAATAAACCCTTTCTCCAGCTGACACAGCTACACAACCTCCTTACATAATCCGGCTGAGTCTATAAGGGAGTGGGGTTAAAACCATATAGTAGTCTGTTTTCATTAATTCATGGGCTCGTCAACTTGCTTGACACCATCAGTACACATCGGAAAGTTGCATGTAAAGGAATTGTCGTCTCTTGGGATTTATCAATGAAATAAAATCGAATTAAAATTTCTTCGTTTACAATTCTGGCCTTTTGTAGCAGAATTCTCAACAAATGGGAACTTGAGTCTGTCTATATTTCTGAGATGAGGTATTATGTACACTATTTACATTATTCGGACTATTGTCCTCATCTTTGTCGCAATATTTATTACAACGTTTCGGCCTTTCAGTATCTATCAATATTTCTGAGAAGAGTTATTATGTACACTATTTACATTATTCGGACTATTGTCCTCATCTTTGCCGCCATATTTATTACGACGTTTCGGCCTTTCATTATCTGTCTATATTTTCTGAGATGAGTTATTATGTACTATTTACATTATTCGGACTATTGTCCTCATCTTTGTAGCCATATTTATTAAACGTTTCGGCCTTTCAGTATCTGTCTATATTTCTGAGATGAGGTATTATGTACACTATTTACATTATTCAAACTATTGTCCTCATCTTTGTCGCCATATTTATTACAACGTTTCGGCCTTTCAGTATCTGTCTACATTTCTGAGATGAGGTATTATGTACACTATTTACATTATTCGGACTATTGTCCTTAGTCCGTGATATTTATTACAACGTTTCGGCCTTTCAGTATCTGTCTATTTTGAGATGAGTTATTATGTACACTATTTACATTATTCGGACTATTGTCCTCATCTTTATTCAAAATATTTATTACAACGTTTCGGCCTTTCAGTATCTGTCTACATTTTTGAGATAAGGAATTATTATGTACACTGTTACATTATTCGGACTATTGGGTAAATATCGTTTCATGTCTGAACTTGACTATACAAAAAAAATGGCTAAAATTGTCCTATAAATGACGAAAATAACAAATATAGTTACCAAAATTACAGAAAAATATCTTGAAATACTAAAGAGTAAATTTATTTAATATAATAGCCACTAACTTCAACCACGGCCTACACATGACTTCGGAATCTCCTGCAACTCTTCTGGATGTTCTCCTTGTTTAAATCGGGGAATGCTGTCATAATCCTTGCCTTCAGTTCATCTTTGGTATTACAAAGAGTTTTGTTGGTCTCTAGATCAACAGCCCCCCCAACATTATAATCAAGGGGGTTGTAGTCTGGGGAGTTAGGTGACCAGATGTAACGGGCGATATGGTCCATGAGAAATTCTCTGCTTGTGTGGCATGGTGTACTGGGTTCTTCTACATGTGTGGCATGGTGCAGAATCCTGTTCCCATACATAGGGTCTTCTAACCCCACAAGGCACTTCATGTAGACCTCCGTGTTGAGTCCGAGGCCATATGGGAGGAGGAATAGAAGCATAACGTCACCATGACTAGTGATCACTCCAAACACCTTCGTAATCACCATTAGACTCATCCAACTCTTTCCAAATCTTCTGCACTGTCCTCAAATTGACGCCCAAACACACTGAAATGTTCGTATTGGAGTTCCCGGTGCAATTGCCAAGCAGTACAAAAATTTCTGGTGGGGTCAATTGCGTTACGGTGCTCTTTTTCTCACAGACGGTGCCCAACTGACCCTACTATAGTGTGCAGTCAAAAAAATCAAAACCAAACAACGCGCATGCGCGAAGTTAGAAGTATAAAATGGAGACAATTTACCCATCGCATCCTGTACAGTAGATAAAAATTAGTCGAATGTATCCTTAAGTCAAGAGGTAGATATTAGTCTGGTTTATTTCGTCGTTGGTACACTGCTAGCGACGGGGCCATGTTTATACTGTAAGAGCAGCAAGAAAACCAGCGCGATCAAGCTCAAATTTCGACCACGTGCCTAAAATATTACCAACTATAAACGCGCATTTGTAGTCTGACAAACCTAAAGCTATGTTATGTCGAAAAGGAAGATAATGTTTGACTTAGGATATATGTTTAATTTGTATCAAAAGCGGGGAAAAGGAAGAAGGCAAAAGTAAAAGAGAGGGAAGAAAAAAGTTTTGAAAAATAAAGAAGACTAAAAAGGCAGGAAAAAAAAAAATTCTTCAAATAATTAAAATGCAATTCACACAGCTATTAAACTAAAAAAATAATATATATATATATATATATATATATATATATATATATATATATATATATAATACCCAAGATATATAGAATCCAGGTAGAACTCAATGTCTTTAGATTAAGAATATAATATAAAAAGACTCAAACACTAATATTCCATGGTTATAATTTATTACATTGGAATCGTAATCACGATCCAATTCACCAGACCTGCAAAATCTATCTATCTATCTATCTATCTATCTATCTATCTATCTATCTAGCGACACAGAGAGAGAGAGATAGAGAGAGAGAGAGAGAGAGAGAATGAAAGGGAAGAGGTTATAGTTGTTCCAACGAGAGAAAAGTGTTTATTTTTTAATCACAAGAAAAACTGCAAAAGTTTTTGGTTTTAATGTGGAACACGCACGAAACCTACACAACATAGGAAGTGTGTTTATGTGTATGTATGTATATGTGTATGTATATATATGTGCGTGTGTGTGTGTCTGTGTGTGTGTGTGCATACATGAATATATATATGTGTACACTAATTCTTTATAATAAGACAATATGTATGCATTGAGTGGGGATATACATATACATACGCGTACTAGCAAAAACATACACAATACGAATAAATGGAAATAGATGTAAGAACATACAGAGGTCATTAAAAGATAAGAATATAGATATCTTTCCTCACCCTTTCTCGGACCAATCTTAATTTTTTTATTACCCTTTAAGCAAAAGAACTTTCTCACCACCAGTCCAAGCAAGACATTTTCGTCACTACCACACAAAAAAGTGAATGTTTAACATCGAAATACACCAGGGAAATTAATTCACTTTAATAATATGTGAAAATATCTGTTCTTTGCTCGAAATACGTGTTGTAAAATTATGGAAAAATAAAGTTTAATACGTATATTAAAAAAATCCACATTAAAACCAAAAACATTTGCTTTTTTTGTCTTCGTTTTAATATATATATATATATATATATATATATATATATATATATATATATATATATATATATATATATATATATTAAAATATATATTCTTAAGGTGTATATTTTTCTGGGATAAAAGTGCTCAATATCAGAGATACAGCGTTTGTAAATATAAAATTGAACCACCGGTGGCCTGACTGTTGCGTCTAGCATGAAACAGCTTTCGCTTCTAAGTGTTGACAAGCAATTTCTCACATATATATATATATATATATATATATTTATATATATATATATATATATATATGAAGTCTCAGAGTGCATATCTGATCTTTCATTTAGTGTGTTAAACGTAATCATCAAACAACATGATGATTGCGTTTAGCATGAATCAGTCTGTCGCCTCTGAGTCTTGACTTTAATGTTCGCTTTTATATTTACATTCGCTCTATCTCTGATATTGACTTCATCCTATAAATATAGCATACCTTAAAACTATATTTCTTCATATATATATATATATATATATATATATATATATATACATACATATATAGATGTAAAATATACAAACAAATGCAATATAAGTAAAACAAGACTTACTTATTGTTGTCTTTCAAAGAACAAATAGGAAACGTATATTAATCTAACATGTTTCACTTTTATTAAAGCTTTGTTATATATAAAGTGTGTGTGTGTTTGTGTGTCTGTCCTTACACTTATATTTGGGTTCTTTCTCCTTTTTATTAATTTACGTAGATCTCTATTAATTTTTTCTCCTTCTTTCATTTTTTCCCATCTTTTCTCTTCTTTCCCCACAACGTTCTTTCACCTTTGATCTTTTTTTCCAGTCCTCCTTACTCTCCATCGCCATTTTCATGTTTTCTTTCACGTTTTTCAATGTCCGTTTTTCGCCTGCCCCCACTTACACAATTAAACGCGAATTCGCTTCATCTTCCCTCTCTTCAATCAAATAATTTACTTCCGATCGGCGGCAGTCGTCCCGGCAACGAAAATAAAAGACAAGGTCGAGAGGTGAATTTGCTTTTCCATCTGAATTCTTCTGTTTCGCGGTTAATGTAAACACATACCCTTGGCGCCTTGGCTTTTGGTAACGAGTAGTGAGGCCATTCTCTCTGACCATTAATAATGGGTTGTCAGTCTGTTCCTCACTGGGTGCCCCTTCCAAAATCGGCATTAACCAACTATAAAAACACACATATCTTTATTAGTTCAATTTTTTTTTTGTAATAATAGTGAAGTAATAAAAATGTCGTATTAAAAAGAAACCCATTAAATCCTTAGGAATTGCTTCGTTTACCTTTCGGTGACAAAACTGAGCATATATATAAATTTTAAGACATGTTTATACATTCCTTTTATAGATAAAAATATTTAAGTAAATGCTCTGTTTATAATAAACAGTATTAAACAACATTTACCGGCCTGAATGTCCGAGTAATGTTCGTAGAAAATATTCGTCCCCCGACTGGAATCGAACCTGTATCCTATACGGGACCGTCATTTAGCTTGACATGCCTTTAACCGATTTGGCCACAGAGGAGCGTTCGGATAGCAAGGTCGATTTTACTGCATTTAAACTTCAGTCTTCTATGAATCTCTCACGTACATTCATATCTGCTCATAGCGTATCATATGTAAACAAATGACGTCACACATTATGAAATGGACAAAGTCCGACAATTATTTTAAGACATTTTTATGTTTATACATTCTTTTTATAGATACAAATATTTAAGTAAATGCTCTGTTTATAATAAACAGTATTTAACAACATTTACATATATATATATATATATATATATATACCAGAAAATATATATGGATTACCCTGAAAATCTGTTTAGGTGAAAAATAGGTAGGTTTCCTGGCTCTTTAGCATATATATATATATATATATATATATATATATATATATATATTCGAATATCCCATATTCGATGTATGAGGGTCAAGCAGCTCAGTTCCTAGGAACCGACGGCCTAGACACCAGTACATGTGATTTGATTATAGGGGTGAAGGCTTTGTGCAGAACCAGCCACACTTTTTGAAGAGCCGAAACGTTAGAACAATGATGTCCCGTATTTTTGGTCAATACACGATATCTTTAACATAGCCACATAGAAAGAAGGCCAGGGGAGAGATATCTGATGAACGAGGTGGCCAGGGGATTGGGCCATCCTTTCCAATAAACCGGTTTAGAAATGTTAGGGGTTCATTTAACAGTACCTCTTTCATCAACAGGGTACCCTGAAATATAAAATGCTTTGTGATTAGAAAACTTTGATAGCTACTGAGTATAGACACCCTGTATATTTTCATTTTTTTCTCTCTCCTCCATCTAGACTTTCTTTGTGTTAAGATGTTAGTACAGGGTGTCTATGAAGTTGCTTTACAATTTAAAAAATGTATTACAAAAACAAATGAATAGACAAATATGTAGAAATTGTTACAAAATGAGGAGTAGATATTGAAGTTTTTTGACTAATTTAATACACCTGACCATTAGTTGCACAAAGCACATCAAGACGACACTCGAAATCTTGCCATGTTCTCTGTAGGATAGTTTCATCAATAGTTTACCATTTGGCGCAAGTGCCTGTAAGAGTTGACATTTGCATTTTATATATACATATATATTATTACTCAAATGTTATGCTTCTTTAGAAATTTTTATATATGTGTGTATTATTAGCTAAACGTTATACTTCTTTAGAAATTTATATATATATATATATATATTACTCAATCATTATATATCTTTTATATATATATATTAATTACACAGTCGTTATACTTTAGATATTTATGAATATGTATGTATATATATATATATATATATATATATATATATATATATATATATATATATATATATATATATATATATATATTAAAACGTTATATATTATTATTTAAAACGTTATGCTTTTTAGAAATTGTTATATATATATTCTAGTGAAATTAATTATTGTAATGGTTTAGAAAATTGGTCTCTTTTTTCTTTTAAATATATATATATATATATATATATATATATATATATATCAAACATTATACTTATTTAGTAATTGTTATATATATATATATATTTTTAAACGTTGTGCGTCTTTAGAAATTCATATATATATATATATATATATATATATATATATATATATATATATATTACTCAAACATTATACGTATTTAGTAATTGTTTATATATATATATATATATATATATATATATATATATGTTATTATTAAACGTTATACTTTAGAAATTTATATATATAACATAAAACATACTTATTAATTTGTTATATATATATATATATATATATATATATATATTATTACTTAAATGTTATACTTTAAAATTTATATATATTTATTACTCAAACGTTATGCTTCTTTAGAAATTTTTATATATATATATATATATATATATATATATATATATATATATATATATATACTTATATGTGTGTGTGTGTGTGTGTGTGTGTGTGTGTGTGTAGAAGAATGTATACATATGCGCTAAGACATTAGAAAAGGAAGTGAGATTGAGAGAGAGAAGCCAGGAAGTACTTGTGTTATAGTTTAAAAAAAAAAAAATGAAAAGAAGTCAACTATTTGCTGAGAGGAAAGGGAATGTTTTGTTTTTTTTTTCAAAAGCACTAACACAGGAATTTTATCTTTTGCGAAGTTATGCACGAGAAAGTTGTAACACGTTTTAGATATCAGATTAATGACGAAAAAATATTTTGGAATTAATATATTGCTTCGTTTTTTTTTTTTTTTTCAACCGTTATTATTATTATTACTACTTTTAAATTTTTACGCATTTGTTATTATTTTGAAGAAACAAGCCACAGCGATTATCTTCACGCTCTTTCTTTTGAACTTCTTGTTCTCGCGAGATAAGAAACGCGAGAAAGCGAGAAGTGCGCATTTGATCATTTCTCGGGATTCCAGTTTTTACTCTTTTTGTCTTCCCTTTGTGTTGTTGAAGCTTCGAAAAGTTTACGTTTTTTGGAAGGAAGCGTACACACCGGAAGTGACTTACTTACATCTGTCTAAATACAGTAGTATTTACGAAATGTTATCATTGCATTTCTAACAGCCATATACGTATATACGAACCTATACGAATCTAAAGGTGTGTATATATTCATAGTAGCGTGTTCAAATTATAAGAATAAAAGAAACTCCGAAAAACATATCGTAAATAAACTGTATTTAATGAATAATTAATAAGTGTTGAGAATATTGTTTATAAAAAGTCGATATATTGATATAATTCATGATTTCTTATTACCTGAAACGTTACATTTAGTGGAAACACATGATTGATTATTAAACTTCACAGTTCAGTCGGAGACGTTAGAAGTATAGAGTTGAAGTAGACTTTAGAAGGAATCGGAAGCCCAATTTTTGAAAAAAACTAAATAAACAGTTGAATGGACAGACCTTACGTGTATTGTTTAATAAAAACTATTTGAATTAATTCTTGCTGTCTAAATACATCTTACATAGAATACACACACACACACACATATATATATATATATATATATATATATATATATATATATATATATATATATATAACTGTTAAAATTCATAATATATTTAAAAAAAAAATCCGCATTAAAACCAAAAACGTTTATATATATATTGATAATATATATATGGTCAATATATATTTATATATATTTCCAAGATGATAGAATCCAGGTAGAACTCAATGTCCAGGACAGAGTAAGAATTTAATGTAAAAGCTTCCAAACACTAATGTTCCATGGTTTATAACTTATTACATTGGAATATTTAATTTAATTTATAAAACACACACACACACACACACACACACACACACACACATATATATATATATATATATATATATATGTGTGTGTATACAAGTAAATAATTGGTGTATACAGAATGAATTTAATAACACACAATTACTATTATTTTTTAAAATAAATAATTATATATATATATATATATATATATATATATATATATATATATATATATATATATATATATATATATATATATATATATATATATATATATAAAAACATTTAAACACTAGTAGTCCATATATACGAGCGCATTCGGCTGTTCCTCTAGCCATTATTAAAGATGTTTTTTATTTTTATTTTTAACTCTATGTATGGATTTTTTTTATCTATGTATCTCAAGTTATAGATATGGTTTTATATTTTCTAAACACGGTCAGCAAATTGTGGCCATGATCGTAGATGATGTTATCGTGCGTTGGATTTTTCTTTTTAGTGCTTGTATTATTTTGATCCTTTTTCTTTTACACGTGGATGTGGCTATTATAATTGAATTTTCTGCAAGTATGATGCAGATGGAGTTTGGTCGGTTTCCTTGGGTGTTTAAATGAGTCCTAATTGGGCTAGGGTCAAATAGATGTAACGTGAGTCTTCTTGATAGGCATGTAGTTGTATGACCAATTTAATTGGATAGGCCTCTTCTTTATAGTTTTTTTTAAAAATTTTATATATGCGTTTTTCATTGGTGCAAGGTTATGCTTTCATAGTGTGTGCGTTGTTGCATGTGCATATGTGCGTACGTCTCTCTCTCTCTCTCTCTCTATATATATATATATATATATATATATATATATATAAAAAAAGAGGTTGTATTGGTTCCAACGAGAGAAAAAAAAATGTATATTAAAAAGAAGAGAAGAGAGGTGCCGCAAACGTTTTTGGTTGTAATGTGGATTTATTTAGAAAAAAATATTATGCTCGATATGAGACATTTTCTGTTTTTGTGTTAGTAATCCGAATGTCTTTC